CTATGCAGGAGGAGATGGAATCTCTTCATAAGAACGATACATGGGAGCTTGTTGAGCTTCCAAAGGGGCGGAAGGCAATTGGTTGCAAGTGGGTATACACGAAGAAGGAGGGCATTGAAGGCACTCCGTTGAGATTCAAGGCTAGGTTGGTTGCGAAGGGCTATGCACAGGAGGAAGGTATTGACTATAATGAGGTTTTCTCTCCGGTGGTGAAGCATTCTTCGATTCGGATTTTGCTAGCTTTGGTGGCACAGTATGGTTTGGAATTAGATCAGTTGGATGTGAAAACGGCATTTCTTCATGGTGATCTTGATGAAGAAATATATATGACTCAGCCATTGGGATTCCGAGCTGCAGGGAAAGAAAAATTAGTTTGCAAACTGAAGAAATCGCTATACGGTTTGAAGCAGTCTCCTCGACAGTGGTATAGGCGATTCGATGGTTTTATGCTTGGTCATTCGTACACTCGGAGCCAGTTTGATCCTTGCGTATATTTTCGCAAGTTGAAAGGAGGTGCGTATATTTATTTGTTGCTCTATGTCGATGACATGTTGGTTGCCTCTATTTCCAGGTCGGCTATAGATGAGTTGAAAGTTCAGCTTTCAAATGAGTTTGAGATGAAGGAATTGGGCGAGGCGAAGCGCATTTTAGGGATGGAGATCGGCAGAGACAAGAAAAATGGCAGAATTTGTTTGACACAGGTGGCTTATTTGAAGAAAGTTCTACAGCGATTCCATGTTAGCATGGATACGAAGCCAGTTAGTGTACCATTGGGAGCCCATTTGAAGCTTTCAGCTGGTCTCTCACCGAAGTCAGTTGAAGATCGTGAGTTGATGTCGAAGACTCCATATGCGAGCGCGGTTGGGAGCTTGATGTACGCGATGGTATGTACGAGGCCAGATTTGTCACAGGCGGTAAGTATTGTTGAATATCATTTCTCCATGATAATGTTTTGATGATAACAATTTATATTTTGTGTGCACTAACTTTCATATGCAGATTTCAATATCAGAATATGTACAAGTGCAAGTGAATATCAAGGCATTTTGAAGTGAAGAAAATGAAGAACAAAAGATAATGTATTTGAATTTTTCTTTGCTTAGAATATTTGTACAAGCCTTGATCACACACACGCACACACACACATTTTTAGAATACACTAACACAGGCTTAGTGTGTTGGTTAACTATAGAAATCCCCTATGTTAACCATTAGAATAATAGTTAAAACTTAATTATAAAAACTCATTATTTCTGAATTTTTGATCTTAATAGTCGACTAATTAGGATAGTAGTCGATTACTCATGTATATAACTCAAATACAAGTTTCTGTCTTTTTACAGTATAGTCGACTAATAGAGATTATAGTCGACTACTGAGATGTTTGACAGAAACATAAGTTTCTGTCTTTTTACAGTGTAGTCGACTAATGACTACAGTAGTCGACTACTGAAGAAAAATATAAATTTTCAAGTTTCTGTCTGAACTCAGTGTAGTCGACTAATTATCATTATAGTCGACTACTGAGAGAGGCAGAATATATGGCAGTTACGGAGGGTGTGAAGGAGGCTATTTGGCTTCGAGGACTTTTGGAGGAACTTGGTATATCGCAGAAGTCCGTCACTATTCATTGTGATAGCATGAGTGCTATCTATTTGGCGAAGAATCAGGTTTTTCATGCGAGGACGAAGCACATTGACGTTCGTTATCACTTCGTTCGGGATGTTCTTGAAGATGGTGATGTGGAGATAGTGAAAGTCCACACGAAGGATAATCCGGCGGATATGCTCACTAAGGTGGTTCCGAGCAACAAGTTTGATCATTGTCGAAACTTGTTGCACATTCGTAATTGTTGAGGCCGTTGTCGGCCATTTGGGTGAACTACGTTCGGCTTGATTCCTTGGGCAAGAGGATACGTAGGCAGTCTTTCAGATGCAGCCGGTTTGGATTAGTTGATTTTGATGGGGGTGAGATTGTTTGGACTCTCGTTCGGGTTCTCGACTTGTTGTGGATTGAGTTCGTACTGGACACAACAAGTGGGACTTTTGGATGCATTTGGTGTCGGTTCAGTTTTGGAAAAACTTCACCGAGGTGGAGAATTGTGAACCGGACCTGATAAGGCCCAGGCCCACGAATAACATGCAGGGGAATTGTTTGTTCGGATTTTGAGTCGGTTTCAAACTCTCACGCGTTTTCTCTCTGTTACCTATATAAACAATTGTTTATTAGGTTTTCTTTTGTGCAAAAGGAGGTGCGAAGGAGGCAGAGCAAGTACGGCTACAGTTTTTTTTCCTTTGGTTTTTGCGGCTGCATAAGAAAAATAGTAGCTGTGCTGAGGAGATTTTGTGTAGTCCCTTCTAGGGTTTTGTGCATCTCTTTGAGAGATATTTGTGAGGGATTTGAGAGTTTGTTTGAGGGTTTAGATTATGAGTGATTGTAAACCCTAGTTGTATTCTCTCCCTCTATTAGTGGATCTCCCCCCCTCCTTGCCCCGTGGACGTAGGCAATTTGCCGAACCACGTTAAAATTGGTTGTACTGCTTTTGTGTGATTTGTAATAGCTTTTAGGGTCCCTCGACGCGCAGTCCTAGAGCTGACGAGAGGAAGAGCTAATATCCTACTTTGATAGGATATAGGCTTCAGATTCTTGTTCCCTTTGAGAAACAAGAATTCTTATTGCGACCTGACTCTCTTGTTGTGCTTGCCGAAGTGCTGCCGAAATTTCCGCTGCGCGCAACACTCTTTAACCTATTGCTTATTAAAAAAGATTCTGATTTTAAAAATAACCAGCTTAGATGTTTCTGGACGTATGAATCATTTCGAATGTGTAAGAGTTTAAATATAAATTAAGGTACAAGAATGAACTTGAAATCATAAACAACCTGATTATGCCGTTACGGCACGATTAGGATGATAAGTCTAGCTTCACTGATAGTTGGATTAAATACAGGGCTATTAGATATTAATTTCCTAAATCATAGGTGTTTTGATATTAGTTTCCCAAATGTAGACATTAATCCTCCAAATCACCTTAATATACTGATATTAGTCTGCTTAACTATAAAAAAATCTAAACCCTGGTTGGATTTAAACTAACCATGGTTTTAGCAAACTTTGTGTGTGCTAATTTTACTATTTAATTATGCAAATATTGAATAATATTTGGTATTAGAATTAAAGTAATATACAAAACAAAAGGAAAAGAATCGAATTAGGATGAAATAAGGTTAAATACCTATCAACCAAATATCTTGTTTCCATTTTCTGCTTTTGCACGATTTCTCTTTTTGCCTTTGTGTGAAGGGGGCGGTTTAATCTTTACACGGTTACACCGCATTCTCATGCAGAATAGTTAGCTCGTCTTTTGAAGGGCTAACTTTTAGTTAGATGTCACATACATTTTTATTACGCTTTTTATGCAGCTTTTGAATATGTTTGGCAAACTAGTTTATAAGTAAGCCACTACTTTTGTGGCTTGTAAGCCATGCCATATGTTAGACAACCAGTTTATTTTGATTTATAAGCTGTTATAGTCTTAAAAATCATCAAGTGCTAATCCTCTTATTAGGGAAGCCAACACATGTCTCACCCCTCGCCTAATCAGACGAACTGAGGCCGATAAGACTCAAACTATCCGCACTCGGCCTATTGTGTCAGTCGACAACTTGCGTAGCCGAATCAAAGATGGTACTTGTCGGCCATCTCATCCAATTGACCCTATGAGCAACCCACACTTAGTCTATTGTGTCAACTGACAACTTGCGTAGCTGAGTCAAAGAGTGGTGCTTCTCAACCCTTGACCAAACAAAAAGAGAGGCGTCAATTACCTCGAACCCCTCGCTAGTTGACTGCTCTCGCATTAACTGCTTTGACAAAATCATCAATACTCTAGCCCTCATAGTCTTTATGACTCATCTGACCCAGTCAACTCTAAGCATCTGCTATCATTCCCTTATTAAATGACTAGATGACTTACTTTCTCTCGCGAGTGACACCTGAAAGATATCTGCTGAATCAACAGCCTGACCGGACTTGGTCGAAGTTACCTTTATACCCCTCTAATATGCTATAAAAGGAAACTACGTTGCATGGGGTAACTTCTTTCACTTTTTGGCAACTTTGAATAACTACCTATACAACTTGTCTTTGATTTCCCCACTCAAGATCAAAATACTGACTTGATCATCAGAGGAACAAACGGAGAACCCAACTCCGCCCTCTCATGAGTTTTTCATGTGCAGGAAAGAACAGCGCACTCGGGGACTAGTCATCTGAAGGAGTTTGAGGACCTAATCACTCTCGTAACCCTAACATAAACCTCATGTTTGATAACTGACATCAACATAAGCCCCACAAAAAAAAAGTTTTTCTAACCCAACTTATTGTTTGTGGCTTATAAGTGATATGGTTTGACCAAGTAAATGTCAAGTAATTAAGATAATTCCAAAACTTATTGGATATAATAAACTCTTATTAAATTAGCTTTATTAATTAATTAGTAGTCATATAAATAAATAAACAAATAACCATTTTAAATTGTGTTGCAATAGGTTATAAAGTAGATTTAATTTAATTTATGAAGGAAACTTGTACTAATAATGCTCTAATATTTAAATTCTGAGCGATCTCCTTTTTGATCATTTTGACAATAATGATGGATTATAAATCTATAATCTACTAATTTGCTAAGCACTCTTATATTAAAAGAAGCTTATAATTCATCATTTTTTACAAAGTATTTTCGCTTATAATCCACTTAGCGTATAGTATAATTCATTTGTGGATTATAATCCAAGTTGCCAAATATGCCCTTTGTTGTTTGCGAAGTTGAGCATTGATTATCAAAGGAATGCCACGCATCACGGCCCAATCAGCAGAGGCCGCAGCCCAATTAAACTCTGCGTCATAAAAACACTACGTGGCCCAGCCGACCCAATAAATATGCAGAGGCCCTATATAAGCCCCGGAGAGCAAAGACCCAGATGGGAAAAGATTTCAGCAATGGCTAGCGTTTTGCTGGCCTCTTCTCCCACGACCGGAGCGCTGCGATCGTCCTCACCCTTTCCGTTCCAATACAATCCTTCAAAAACCCCCCGTTATCGATCCTTCTCTGAAAACCCTAACCCTAATTCATGCCAAATTACGAAGCTGCCACTCCTCCAGTCCTCATCTTCTACCGCCTCAAGAAGGCTTGTAAAGGCTCAAGCTCAAGGAGACTACTCTGCAGAAGCGGCGGCAGCTTCCATCTCTTTGCAGGTATCAAATTAGGGTTTTTTTTTTTGAATTTTCTGGGTTTTTCTTGTTACCTATATACGCCTTCAGACCAAACATATTTAACAAAAAACTACCCTACCCTTAAAATCTACATATTTGCTAATTTAGCCCCAATCCTGCTACACTGAGTTAAAATACCCTCAAACGCATATGAACGGCGGAAGAAGGAAATTGCTGCAAAACAGCTGATACAAGAGTTAAGAAAATCCTGAGAATATTTTTTAACACGACTTTGAGGGCTGTTTTGACTCAATGCTGTAAAAATTTCTATGTTTGGAGGGTAAATTTTCCACTGCGGGGGTGTATAGTTAAAAAAAAACCAATTTTAAAGGGTTTTATAATGAGGAATTAAGCTAACATTGATTTGATGCCAGTCTGCTCAGCTCAGTGGCACCACATGGTTCAATCTGTCAGCTGTGCAGCTCGGTCTTGTGGTAAGTTAACTTCTAACAGTTTGAAAATATAATGTATTTTATCTTTGTTCATGAGATTGTTTGATTTGTAGGTTAGTGGTTCGTTATATGGAGCTCTTGCTGGATCACTTCTAGCTTATCCTATTGCGGATTTTCTTGGTGCGGTTTTGCTTCATTTTGGAAATTTATTGTTTTCTATGTTTTAGTTTAGTAAATGTTGGAATTGATGTTGATGAGATCTATGGTGAAGGAAGAAGAAGAGAACTGATTGCGGCTGCTGCATTGTATATTCTTGGTAGTTCAGTAACTGGATATGCTCCTAATCTTGCGGTTCTCATAGTTGGACGGCTTCTTTATGGTATTGGTATAGGTCTGGTGAGATGATAATTTTCCTCCCCCAGCTCTTATATTCGTCACAATCGGTAGGCATATAGTTTTAGATAGAAAGAACTTTCAAGTTGTGCATCTATTGCACACATGTAAATCCCTGTTGGACACTCAATTTCATCTCTTACAAATGTGTCCACCTTTATTTAATTCAACCATTGTGGAGAAAACACATAGATTCATTGTCAAGGTTCTTTCTATTAGAAATGGAAATAATATAGAATTTCATACATCCTCTGATCCACATAAACAGATAACTGTGACCTTGCTTCAAGAGTACTACGGTCATGCCTTTTATCTGCCTATCATAATTCATAAGTTTGTGGAGTTCTGTTATAAAAGCAGGATCTAGGACCAACTGAACAACTTACTAGAGATTCCTAGGTGATTTCTAATGATGTGCTATATAATGTTTTCCTATCCTAATATTGCATTCTGCAAAGCTTCCTAATTGTTTTATATATTATTGCCTATATTGATATGACCTACTACCTAAGTTGCATTGAAATCTTTATGGGTACCGGTACGGGTGCGGGTACCGGTATGGTACACGACAAGTTTGTGAAATATAGGGTATGGACATGGCTACAAATATATGTTGAAATTAGTAGTTTATATGAGATCATTGTTATTTTTCAATTCATGTGCTATTTGAACTTAAATTTCTATTCTATTTTTAAGTTTCTTTTATTTGTTGATTATTATAAATTGGGGATGGCTCGTTTTGTAAGTAGACACTCAAACCAACTTTTTAAATCATAGTTTTAACTTGGGTATGGGCTGAAACAACCGCACCCTTGTCTACCGAGTTTCAAGAAATGGAGATGATGTATAGAATATATGTCTAAGAAGTGTATGCCAAGTATTTTAATTAAAACATATATCATAATGAATACATGTCTGGGTAAATGTATGCATATACCCAAGGAGTGTCCATGAAGTTTGGGTACGGGTAGGTGTCAGGTACGTGTCCGGTACAGGTACAGCTTTATGATAGAAGTACCCGGGTAACATAGCCTACTACACTTTACTAACTGTCCTGCGAAAGGTTACCCATATCTTGTTGTATGAATGATTTTTCCTATAATTTATTGTCCAGGCTATGCATGGTGCTCCTCTTTTTATCGCCGAAACATCTCCATCTCAGATACGTGGGACTTTAATCTCACTAAAGGAGCTTTTCATAGTACTCGGGATACTGGTTGATTTTCTTACCTTTCTAAAGTTTATTGATCAAGTTTTGAATATTTACTGCTTGGCCATTGAATTAAGAAACACTTATATATCTATGTAGTTGGGCTACCTTGTTGGAAGTGTCGAGATAAATGCTATTGGAGGATGGCGTTTAATGTATGGTTTCAGTGTTCCTATCGCATTTTTGATGGGTTTAGGCATGTGGAATTTGCCACCGTCTCCAAGATGGTTACTTCTCAGAGCGGTGCAAGGCGAAGGTTCCTTGGTTGAATATAAAGAAAAAGCTGTTTCTGCACTTAGAAAATTAAGGGGTCGCCCTGTAGGTGATAAAGTATCCGAGAAACAAGTGGAGGATACTCTTATCTCTCTGAAGGCTGCCTATAATGAACAAGAATCCACAGGCAGCGTCTGGGAGGTGTTTGAAGGTGCAAGTTTGAAAGCCTTCATAATTGGAGGAGGATTGGTCCTTTTCCAGCAGGTATTGCTTCCATAACCATCATGCATAGGTTTGTTAATCTATTGCAACCTGATATTCTCTTGTTTGTTGTATTAAAAATGTATGGGATAGCTTTTATACTAAAGTCATGTGAAGTTCTATAGAAGTGATAAAAAGCGGTTGACCTTTAACTAACTGATTCTGAACTCAATAATGTCAGATAACGGGGCAACCTAGTGTTCTTTATTATGCAGCTTCCATTCTGCAGGTACATTTCGTCAAAGGGTATATTGTTATTACAATTAACTGGTCAGTGTCCGTTTGATCCTTAACTTTTCTTTCATTTCTCGAATGTTGTTGCAGAGTGCAGGGTTTTCAGCTGCATCTGATGCTGCTAAGGTCGCAGTTGTCATCGGGATTTTTAAGGTATGACCTAACCCTGTCAGTGTTTGGATTTTGTAGTTCACTACTCATCTTCCGTTCTCTCCATGTAATGGCCATATGCTATAGAACAGCAAGAATTTGTACTTCTACCTTAAGTGAGCTTGGATAGATGGATTCTTTTTCCTATTGATATCTGTTAAGACCTTTCCTTTGTTAGATTAACCTTATGTTGTAACAACAAGAAGCCTTTATGGCAATGAGTTTTTTTTTTCTCTCCTTCATTCCAGTTTCTTAAAAGGCCAATTTATCTATTAAATTAGCCATCTGATATATATGTAAAATCTATAAAAGCAATAGGTCGAAGAACAGGCATACATTTAGCAGTGTGGTGATCAGTACTTTGTGAGTTTGTGTGGATAACTGAAGAGAAGAAATGAGCAAAGGATCTGGAATTTTCTGTTCCTATTAATTAGTGGAAGACTCAGTTCCACCATCAAAGCATTCTTAAGGTTAATTAAACGCTAGGTTACCCGGACACTTCATCTAGGCTAACGTATCCGTGTCCGACACTTTCGGTATCCGTGTTCATGTTGGACACTCCTTGGACATTTCTTGAATATATACGTACATTTATTCAGACTTGTACTCAATTATATAACACTAGTTTAGTTATCTCATGATACATTTCTTAAACGTGTATATTGCACACTTCCTCTTAAATTTATGCAACTTGTTGGACTTAGAATAGGATTGTTTTAGCACGTACCTAGTTCATAAGCATGATTTTAAAGGGTCGTTTGGGTATCTAGTTCAAAAATGAGCGATTTTTCAATTTATAATATACTCAATAAAGAAAACATAAAAATGGTATAAGGATTTTAGTTCTCATAACATGTGAATAAAACAACAATGAGAATCTCATATAGATGATTAATTTCAATATGTATGTATATAGCAGTGTTATCCTAACTTTTACAATTTTCTTGTGTCCCGTACCTGCCCCTGTGTCTGCACCCGCACCGCCATCCGTGCAAAATAGATTAAACATGTACTGTTAAGATAGCTATACATCTGTCTGAAGCCTAAGAACATGGAAGACATCCTTAAAATCTCAAATGTGTATTGCCTATGGGATTATGTTTTTGACAAATCATGGTAATAGAATAACCATGATCAACTTCAACATCGTGTTTGAGTTAGAATATATTTGTGTTATGAGTTTCAGGTTGAATCAGATTATAAATTTCCTTGTAAGTTATTGTTTCATTTGAATCTCAGGATGTGTTAGCTATTAAGTTTCCAGTATCTCGTCTGTCCATTAGTTGGTCATCCCATCTTGCTTCACTAATTCTGGCGGATGATAGAAATTACTGTCAAGGCTTTCTTAGATTAACATGCTGGTAAGCCTTCCTGCCATCTGGGATTTTTGGCACCCATATCCAATTATATTTTAGAATCAGATAGGTTACTTGCGCTTGATAGAAAAAATGATACACAGATTATACCTACGTTGAAATTCTTTTCCCCCTATGTTATGCCTTAAAATTGTTCTTTTGGTCCCATAGATTTGTGGCAAACCTCCAGCCTTTTCATATTATTCCTTTTTTTCTGCATTGACCATGAGATATATACAGTTTTTGAGATCTGTATAGGTTTTAGATTGTGATTTGAAGAGATAGATGGTGTTGCAACTGATCTAATGCCTTGTGTAAATTTCAAGCATGATAACTGCTGTACATTTTTGAAAGTGAACAAGTTTTGTCACTTATTTCTCTAAATTTCTCCTGTATCAATAAAACAATGAAACTTTAAAGACTGCATCATCTTCCTTAGCTATTGCTAAAATCTAAATAATATGTGTGCATATATTGCAGTTGCTGATGACTGGAGTAGCTGTTCTAAAGGTTGATGATGTTGGCAGACGACCCTTGTTGATCGGAGGTGTGGGTGGAATTGTATGTATTCGTGAACCTTCCAAAATTATATTCTATAACCATTTAGTCTTTATTTGCAAAGTTATAATCTAAAATCATTTAGTCTTTATTTGTGATTGTTATGAAGAATTCTTAATTTGCGAACCTCAGATATTATCTAGGAAAACAACCATGCATGACTCATCCATGTGTTTCACCTTTTCCCCATATTTTCCTGGCAACAATTTATTCAGTTGCTAGCGTTATAGAATTATTAAAGTTATTTTTTTGTTGAGAATATTTGAGATTTTGTTTTCTGAATGATCCAGGTCCTCTCCTTATTCCTTCTTGCCGCTTACTATAAATTTCTTGGAGGTCTATCTCTGATTGCTGTAGGGGCTTTGCTTCTATATGTTGGTGCCTATCAGGTACCTTCTGTCACTTGTTTTTCCTGTGAGCTATTTCCAATGTCTTTGTTTCTACCATGTATTTCACCAGCCATATTTCACCAGTGTTGCGCTCTTTCTTAAAAGATGGTACTCATTTCTTGAGTTACAAGACTTCCTTTTGGGAAAATACAATTGTGAGGAAAGGATGTGAAAGAGACACCTAACCCACCTTTCTTTATTCTGCTAGCCTGGGTAGCTCTAGTTGATCCATTTGCTTCTACTTGAGTGTACTCGTGGCATAGATCTCTTAGAGAAAGCTTACTTGACAAGATTAATCAGTGATTCATCTCAACAATCCCTGTTTGCCCAACAATGAAAGTATAAGTGATCTATTAGTGACCATGCTGTTTGAGTTGCAGAACTTTCAATTGACCTTATGCATTGATACAGGTAATTTTTAATTACTAGTACAGGTGGAATTTGTAATGTTTTTTTTTTTTTTGCTTGCTTCTTTTGGGGGATGTTTGGGTACCTGGATGCTTGAACTTTCAATTACTTCGTGCCTTGTACCCTTTGCAATTTGTTATCAATATTTGTAATGCTGTAACGCACACTGTCAATGCGCCATAAATTTGTCTTTCAATATGTATTTTTTGAGTAACATCTTTCAATTCTTTATTTAAGTAGTCTCTACGTGGAAATAATGTATTTGCTACATATCAGGTATCATTTGGTCCGATCAGCTGGTTAATGGTATCTGAGATCTTTCCACTTCGCACAAGAGGGCGCGGTATTAGTCTTGCAGTGCTGGTTAACTTTGGCTCAAATGCATTAGTAACCTTTGCATTTTCGCCATTGAAGGTACTTATACTGATGTAGAATAAACCGAGTCAACTTCATCATTTAAATGCTTTCCTTCCATTTATTCAAGATTTGAACTGTTTTAGCTGTTCACTTGTAATGTTTTTCTTCTATCTTACTCTGCAGGAACTACTGGGACCTGATAACCTTTTTCTCCTTTTTGGTTCCATAGCATTGGTTTCACTTATATTTGTCCTCTTCTATGTCCCAGAGACAAAAGGCTTAAGTTTGGAGGAAATAGAATCCAAACTCTTGAAATGATGCTGCCCATCCGGCCTCTGCTATTTGAATCAAAAACACTTGGCCACAACTTGTAAAGGTCATAGGTAAATATGTACTACATCCCTTAATTGTAAGAATTACTAGTAAGATTCATTGAATCCTCTCAATGACACTGACTTACATTTTCCCCATGTTGTCATGTTTGTTATGGAATTACTGTATCATTGACAGAGTTCCTATCATATTCATCGGTTATTTTTAGCTAACATTGCTAGTAGATGAAGTTTATTAGTTGGAGATTATTATTTTTTCTCGGCAATTTTGCTTCACTAAATTTGGCTTAATTTATATTCTAGCTAAAAGAAAAGTTTAACTGATAAAGGCTTTATAAACTAAGTTCTGCATATTTTATTCTGCTAGTAAACTTTTTACTGTTACACATATATCCTTACAGTCATTTTGATTTTTCTTATCCTCTTTCTTCTCGATGAATTTCTATTTCCATCTTTAATTAGACTATATTAGCTTGAATTGGTGAAACAGTGCTTGTCCATTTATCTGGTTCATGAAAAGAATGATCTTCGAACTAGTATTGATGCATGGAGTTAGCCTACTACTTCCTTTTACCATTTGGAGTTTCTATGAGTACTCTCCATTTAACTTTTCATTGGCAAGAGGAGAGATTTTAGTTACAGCCCGAGACTGAGGTTCATAAAATTGAAGGTGTTGTAATATGCTAAAAAAGATAACCATTTGACGTGTCGTTTCGTTTCATTGTTGTGTATATGCCTTACATATTCCATGACTATTGATTAATGATCTGCGATGAAGTCACTGATTGGAGCTAGCTATAGCTTTTGGGTGGAAGACCTTACTGTGATAATGTTAATTGTCATACACTGTTGATAGTAGACAAAGCAATTTACATAACTACAGGTACAGATGCTAGAGGCTGAAGCTTCCTTAATTAGTATTCTCTCCTTTCTTTTAGTTTTATTTAAATTTCACTGTAGGTTCTTTTGGCTCGTGTTAGAATATCACTGATGTGGAAGCCCGTCAATTTATGAATCTGGAAGGCTAAATCACGAAGATAAATTTAAATCCAAGTGGGGAGCAGGCATTGAAAGCTAACAGCTTTCCTGCTCAAGCAAAAGTAGTTTTAATAAACTGTTCATTTTGTGGGTTCTAGAACTTCTCAGGTCTTTGTCATCAAGATGCTTTTTGCCTTGAAGAACTATATGTGTGCAGCTAGAACTAACATGACATAAAGTTAATATGTTTGGATTAGAACTAATATGAGTGCAGCTAGAAATAACATGACATAAAGTAAAACTAACATGGTATAAATTGAGATCACATGGTAGTTCTAAATTAGAACTCACATGGCATAAGTTAGAACTAACATGATCTATGATAGAACTAACATGAATTCAATTAGAACTAGCAAACATGTTGTCCATTAGAACTAACATGACGCTAACTAACATGACTCCTAATAGAACTAACATGAGATCGAACTAACGTGAGATGTAGTAGAACTAACATGAGATAGAACTAACATGAGATAGAACTAACATGAGATGCAAACATGTCATAGAACTAATACGGCCTTTATTATAACTAGCGTAACCTAATTTTGAACTAACATGACGCCAACTAAGACTAACATAACCCAAATAAGGACTAACTTGAATACGACCAGAACTAACATGATTATAGCTAGAACTAACATGGTATAAATTAGAACTAACATGGTGTAAATTAGAACTAACATGGTATAAGTTAGAACTAACATGACATAAATTAGAACTAGAATGGTTTGGAAGGAAACTTAAGATCAATTTTCATTATCCTGCATTAAAGGAGGGAAGATGTGGTGTTAAATAGGGTGGGGTGGGTAGGTGGGTGGGGGGATCCAACCATCTTCATGAAGAACAGTAGCTAAGCTGAAAGCAAAACAGTATGTTGAAAATATTAAGATGGATAGACTATAATGCAACCAAAGGGAAAAAAACTGAACATATTCCTTAATGAAACCCATCCAACATCAACAAGACTTGTGAGCTTTAAAACATGTAGATCCTGAACAAAATTCAACAAACAAAACCCATATAATTCCCATAAAATTCTGGAAACAGAGCTCAGCCACAAACATCATCCTAGAAGTTACATGGCTTCGCCACCACAAACATCATATTGGAAACAGAGCTCAGCAGGAGTTGTTCGAACACGCTACACGCTCCAAAAATGCTCTGACATGCTCCAAAATGCTCCTAAAATGCACCAAAATGCTCCTAAAATGCCCCAAAAATGCTGAAGACATGCTCCAAAATGCTCTGACATGCTCTAACATTCCTCAAAGTTCTTCGAACACGCTACAAGCTGTTACTTTTTCTATTCATGGAAAACATTCATGAGTTGTGCACAAAAAAAAATTCAATTGAACGGCAAATAAATATTACAAGATGAATTCTCAAGTAAATTACCAACATCGGGCAACCGGTCTTATAATGACCCAATTGTTGACAATTCCCACATTTTGATGTTTTATATTCTTTTTCGATTGTGACTCTTCAATTCCTGACTTGTACCTGCTAGCACATCTTGGACGACCCTTTGTTTTGACTGGGCCATTAGGATTACGAATTAAAATTTCTTCACCATCTCCCAATACTAGATTTGTATTTGAACTAATTTGGCTTCCAATTTGAGAGTTTGCAATATGAATCTCATTAAACTTTACTTCCTTCTCAACTGATACAGTGATATCTTGTAGCATTCTCTTCACCATAGAAATGACATTTGCTGAACATGAAGCCATCTCAAGGGTAGCATTGAATCTGGCTCGAATTGCCCACCATAGAAATGACATTTGCTGAACATGAAGCCATCTCAAGGGTAGCATTGAATCTGGCTCGAATTGCCCACAATCTAATAACATGAAGCCATCTCAAGGGTAGCATTGAATCTGGCTCGAATTGCCCACAATCTAATAATATCGCACTGCTCCATGCTACATTCATTGCTTCTTACATCCATAATATTAAAAAATCTAATGTTTTTGTGCCTTGCATCAATTTTTCACCTTTGTAATATATAATTATCAGGAATAGTTGTCAACTGAAGAAGCCATATGATATGCAATATATGCTTACAAAGGATCCCATCGGTTTCAAAAAGTGCACACGAGCATTTGACTTTAAGCTCTCTAGATTTGTCATATGTAACTTCTTTCCATTTCTCTCTTTTTTCAGAAAAATCACCAACTAGATAAATTATTTTTGGCTCTTCCTTTAGCGTTTCTTCATGAAAAAGTGATAACTCATTAGTAAGCTCATCTTGGAATATTTTGAAGATCCCCCTAGTATATAACTTGCTAACTTGCACTTCAATTGGATGTCGAAGGCACATTGCAGGCACGATATTCAATATCATAAAGTCTTCTCAAGATTTAGATGCACGTCGATTTGCTAAGGTTGTCATATTGTCATACAAAGTCCACAAGCCTAGTCTTTGTATTTACATAACCATAAAAAAAGGCATTGATACTTTCACTCCTTTGACTAGTTGTCATTCCTGCCCAAAATATGTCTTTCAAATATACATCTACCCAGTGTGCACGTAATCTATACATCCTCGTCAGCCAACTATCTACATTCCCATCTATATTAAATTTCTCCTTCAAAATCTTCCAACGTTCCTCACAATTGTGAATAGTGCTAGCTCGGTCTATATTAAATTTCTCCTTCAAAATCTTCCAACGTTCCTCACAATTGTGAATAGTGCTAGCTCGGTACCACTTATCAAAATATGTAAAAATCTTCCAACGTTCCTCACAATTGTGAATAGTGCTAGCTCGGTACCACTTATCAAAATATGTAGAAAACTCATCTCCATATTGTGCTTTCATTGGAAGTTGCTGCTTGGCAATATGTCTGCCAATATGCCAAGAACAAAAACGGTGTTGGGTATTAGGAAAAACTTGTTTGATAGCTCCTTCTATTTGTGCATCTTGATCGGTGATAAACTGATAATTGCTTTTGGTGCAACCACATGCATGCATTTTAGCCATTGGGTGAACAACCAAATAAATGTATCCTCTTGTTCATCTGCAAGTAACGCACAACCAAAGAGAATGGACTGTCGATGATGATTTACACCTGTGAATGGAGCAAACGGTAGGCTCAAATGATTGGTTTTATATGTGATGTCGAACACACTACATCTCCAAAACTTAAGTAAGAAGATTTTGATCTCCCATCAGCCCAAAACACGCTCCTCATAGTCCCCGACTGATCCAGCTCTATGGAAAAGTAAATCTCCCATCAGCCCAAAACACGCTCCTCATAGTCCCCGACTGATCCAGCTCTATGGAAAAGTAAAATTCTGGATCGATTTCCTTCCTATCTTTAGTCCCCGACTGATCCAGCTCTATGGAAAAGTAAAATTCTGGATCGATTTCCTTCCTATCTTGAAAATTTTTTATGATGGATATGCATTCATTGCTAATGTTGTTCTTCCTAATAGTTTTGATGTGATCAATACATTATTTTGCAGTAATATATTCTTCATGAAGACTCTTGGACACAACATTATACACTCGAGCAATAGTAGAAAGAGTCATTCCTTCTTCACTCAAATTCTCAATACTTCTCTTGCAAGTCTTCGAGCGATGCCTCTGCCTCTGGGAATAATGATTAAACACTTTATCAGGGCTCGATAATAGATGGGTTGGGTGCTCTCCCTCAAACTTTGTGACAATTCATGTCTTGGAGGAAGTCAACTTAATCTTCATTCTTACGGGACAATCCACTCTAGTATCTGGACGGCGATTGACAAGTTTCCCACTCTCTTATCTGATAATCTTTTTCTCTCTGCCTTGTTGCAAACAAAAACTTGATAAATAATTTCTCTTGACTTTCTTGACTTATCGGCTGTTTCCTTGCGGATTCCAAAACCCATTTTTTTGTATAAGAATTTGTAATAGTTGTATGCCTCCTCTAATATAGCAAATTCTTTTCCCTCGTATGGCGCCTCTCCTATGAAAGTCATTTCATTCGGGCCTACAAGAGCTGTATGCAATTCACCATCAACATCCATAATATTTTGGGTATAATTTTCACTTAGTCCAATGGGTAGCATATCATCTGTTTCAACATTCATTGTCCTCTCGTAGCCCTGAAACATTCAAAGAAGTAGCAGTTTACTGTATGCTAGTGATATTCATGTCATGCATTAAATAATGTTCTTCAAAGTTTATCCTCAACCAAAAGAATTAAATTCAATCACAACTAATATCAAG